CGGTTAACGTTGGGAACTTGTGACCGTTAACTCTGTGAAACGGAGACGGTTAACGTTATGAACTTGTGACGGTTAACGTTGGGAACTTGTGACGGTTAACGTTAGGAACTTGTGAAGGTTAACGTTATGAAACGCACCAAAAGGCCATCGTACTTTTCCAAGATGTTAACACTCAAAATGTGCAAACATCATAATGAAAAGAGTCCTTGTTGTTTGTCTTGTTGCTGTTATTGCGGTTGGTTTTTGCTTCATACGTTCATCATACAACTTGCAGCACTCAATACACTCTTCTACGGGAAGTGTGAAGAATCATCGACATAATTAACTTCAAACTATGAATGAACTTATCAAAAGTTACTCATCTAAGGCTCTAATCATGAATGAATAGCCTGAAACTTTGCCTCTGAAACACAACTATCTCTGGTATGCAGGGTTACACAACCGCCACTGTGAGGATGTCAAAAGGTCTCCCAGCATGGCCCGTTTCCACATCAGACCTTTGCTGCTTAATAGTGCTTCACTGATGAAATTAAGGGGCCGGCCAAAAGGCCACTAGAACAACGTCTCCAAAACAAATGGCTCGTCTTTGTGCTGTAACCTCATTAGAACAATGCGTGGTGGTTTCTCCGAGGATGTGTCTGAGCCAGGCAGCCAGAGATAAGCCTCTCTGACAGTAGAGATAATGGGACCCGAGTATTTCAGGCTCATGATACCCGGCTCTCGTTTATTCATCGACACCACCGCTTCCCCCTCAGGCCTTAAGGTCATCTGTGAGAAGAGACGCAGCGGTCGACATGTTCACTGCAGCCGGTCTGTATCATCATTTAATGAAGACGGTTGGTCATTTGGTTACGATGAAGAACGGCACGTATTTGTGTTTCATATTTTGATATTGATACAATTGTTTTAGTTTCACTTGGAGAACCAGAACAGTCCAATAACTCAACTCCTCTGACGGATCCCAGAACGTTGGCCTGCCAGAACAAACTCCAGTGGATCAGCACCACCGACACTCCAAAAACGCATTTCCACTGCACGGCACTCTGCTCAACTCGACTCAATCTTTTTTGTTTTTTCTCATTAGTACAAGTTTAGGATAGTAGCTTGTTCTTGTTTTAGTACCACCTCTGTCGAGGTTAAGTGCAGAAGTTCCCCATGTTTGGTTGGTGACAACCTCCGGTTCTTTAAAGTTTTCCAAAGCTTCATGTGTTAAAGCTGCATTCTCTCTAGTGTCCACCAGGGGGCGACTCCTCTGGTTGTATAGAAGTCTATGAGAAAATGACTCTACTTCTCTCTTGATTTATTACCTCAGTAAACATTGTAAACATGAGTTTATGGTCTCACTCTCTAGTTTCAAGTCTTCTTCAATACAGCATGATGTTCATTTAGTACATTATGGTCCATTTAGAGTCAAACAGACCATAAAGCAGGGGATGCTTTAGGGCGGGGCTACACAGTGATTGACAGGTCTCGACCAGAGACGTATACGACGTCTCTACGTCACTCCTCCTCAGTCCAGACATGGTCACTTCCTGTTTACTGGTTGCCTCAATTATGAGCAGTTGTCCTGAATCCTGTCCTGTTTGTCGCAAAAAAGTTAAAACCTAATAAAACATAAAATATGTTGGTGTTGCCAACAGATCGACACTGTTATGTTTGTAGCTACATGAATTAAAATGTGTTTTTTTTAGCTGAGTACTTAGCTAAAATGTATATACTCAAATATATATATATATATATATTGATACATATATATGTATACTGTATATGTATCAATATATATATACATATATAATGATTTCTGTGGAACAAATGAATGTTTGTTTCCCTGTTAGAGGGCTTGTTCTCTAAAAGAAGAGAGGAACACTTTAGTTGAGTGTTCTGTTTCCTGTTTCATACAATTATCTTCAGTCTCGATGTCATTTAATGGAATAAGTGGAACATGTTCATGTGACGTAATCCTCAGAGAGAAGTGGTCATCAGTCTCACTCTGAGTTGTTTTTCACTTATTCAAATGACTCAAATCAGTTTCTACTTCTCAGGTTTCTTTACTTGCATATACATATTTTAAACTCAAATCAAAACTCAGAGTGGGTTTTGGGTTGAACCGGTCAGTTTTCATGTAGGTTATTTATAATAGAATGGTCGGGTATAAAAACTGGTGACCATATTTATTCACCATTAAAGTATATCCCTCGTAGTTATTTAATTTATTCACACTGACTCAACATGATGGAAACACTACATTTTAAACTCATGTTGTGAAATTAGATGAAAAATGAATTTAACGTAACTGAAACACATGTTTTAGGCATAATTATATTATAATGAGCGTTTCTTATGTTTGTGAGTCAGGCTAGCTGGCTAGCTTAGCATAAATACAGGAAACAGGAAACAGTTCTGAAGAATTTGTCCTTTATAATTCACACATTATATGTTT